AAATATTTAAAAAATATTTTTTTAAATATTGTGTACTGATTGGTTAATAGAATATAAACTATATTTATAAATTGCATTAATATAAATATAGCTATATTTTTAATAAAATGTGAAATAATATTATTATAATTTTTAATTGTTATGTAATAACAAATTAAAGTTTCTTGCGTATTAAAAAATTTAAAAAATTTTGAAAATAATATAATATTTTCTTAATAGCGTAAAATATCTGGTAAAACAAATAATTTTGCCATGACATTGAACTTGGCCAGACTATCTTCATAGTTTACTGACCCCATAATTTCTAAAGTCATATTAGTCATGGATCGACAGATGAAGCATATCACCGAAAAGAGACAGCGAAAGTGATCATCAGCCGTGAACTACGTCATGGTATTGTCACTTCACAAGATTCGCTTCAATGAAAAGAAAATAGCATATAAATGACGATTCACTGTTAGTGATATCAAACAGTAATTGACTGTCAACAATCGCGTTTGCAATCGCGGTTACGACGAATACGCGATTCGACAATGGTAATATAATAACATTAATAACATATAAAGTAAACACGATATTAAAAGGAGCGATATATAAAAATGTTACAAATATGAATACGTACGATAGTATACGTACTTTTATTATGAATAATTCGGTTTAAAAATGCAAGTGAGAAATTTCAAAATATATCGAATTCTGTACGCCTTTCGAATCCCATAATTAGTGATTTGAGTATTATGCCATTAAGAGTTATGTGTGCGTGCATCAGGTTTGCAAATTGCGATTTAAATCAACAAGAGATCGTTATAGATACTTCAGTATAACGGAATCATAATCAACATCGCCAATTAATTCAAAATACATGTATGGATAGTCTAAGTGTAACGACCTCAACTTTGTGTTTCAGAGGATCGTTATCAGTTTACTTTTCATTCTGTCGAACGGTGTGCTGAACAACGGAAGCGCCAAGGAGCAGTGAGTATGCAACCGATACTATGTTATTAGGTAATTTCATCTAGTTTGCACAAAATTGCTTTGAGAGATGTTTGGCATTAAACGTTAAACTTTACGCTTTCTTGTAAAGAAACTCATAGCTTATGCTTACTCTCGTTCTCACTTGTTGGTAATTAATTAAAGAATGTATACACCCCAAAGCAATAGTATATTTATAGATTCTTCACTAATTTTTACACAATGAAAAAAATGTTTGGTGATATTAAATCAAATCTAAATGGTAATTACTAAATACTTTGATAAAATAATTTTGATCAAATGTTTGGTTGATATACAAAAAGTTAGAGTTAAATCAACTATACTCTATTTATGCTTTTTTAAATATTTAGAAATTATTATCAAATAGTTGATAATAGCAACTGATTACTTATATTATGTTTAGTATTATTAAATATTGTACCATACGCTAAACGCTAAACAAAGTACATTTGATAGCTATTATAAGACTTTTTTTCTCAGTGTGAAATTCACTTGTTTGTTATATGTATATGTTTTTTTTTTTTCATTAACAGTGTACACTTCAAGATTCACGTGCCCGAAATAATAAAACATCAAATTCATACAAAAACGGTGTTCATACATATTCACAAACCGGATATTTCGACAGCATCGAAGAAGCCTAAAGAAGAAGAACCAAAGAAGAAGAAGAAGAAGACCTATCACAAGGAATCACATCATGAAGATTGGAGTTCCTGGAGCAATTACGGCTATCAAAGCGATCACGACGATCAATCAGACAACGATCTACTAAAAAATCAAAAGGATCATAAAGATGATAATGTCCACAAAGAGGAGGCTCCCTTCAAGAGCCCTTACGCCCAATATCACAAAGATTCTAATATTCCCATGTTGCAAGACAACGAGAAACCTAATTTTCCGCAGGAACAACATGGCGACATGATAGGATATTCGTATCCACCGCAGTACGAAGTAAAGGAGGATGTTAAAGAAATAGATAACAATGACATTGAACCTTATATTCACAAGTATGAGGAAAATTATCATAAGGGGGGCGAGTCCGTTAGCGGACACACGTATTCGGGCGATGTCACGAAATTCTACGATGACAAACACGAAGAGGGTGAACACTCCGCTGATGAGTATAAAAATGAGTCAAAAGATAAAACTCATGCAGGTCGTTATTTCGTCGATGATTCTGAACATCAGCACAGTAACAAAGCGGTGAAGCGCGTGTCTCCTAGAATTCTTACGCGATCGCGTAAGAATACTGGAGAGACTCGAAAGTTAAATTAAAATAAATAATAAAAGAGTATATATTAATGAGATAAATATTACTATCACATACATATTAATTTAAAATTATAATGCATAAAATCATACACAAATGTATTATATCAATATAAATCAAATAATAATAATGAAGTGAATTATAGTAAATTAAAATTAAACCGTATGTTATATATATATATGTATATATCAGATATTTAATAAAAATTACATGTTAATAATTTATATATTTACGAGATGTTTACTAGATAAATAGATAATAATTTGCGTATCATAATAACACTGCAACACCGTCAATAGATGATTATGGAATAATTATCGAGAAGATATATGCAACACGCATTTTGTCTGAAACGTCTCAAGAAACTAATAATAGCTATTGACGCAGCAATAAAATACTCGTTTACGAAAGAATCATTCATTTGCAGCATCTATATATTAAATTTATAGTGTACTATTATATTATAGTAATGATCAGTCTTGCTATCGCCTTCAGCGTTTTCACGTTCTGCCTTCTTGCTTTTCATGCAAGAAAGATTTACGGATCGTAATCGTGAATGAGATTAAAGAACGCTTGATGGAAATTTTGGAAATTTTTCTTTTCTATCACCTTTAAAACATACTTATTAATTTTAAATGTGACTTAGCACTTTAATTTTTGAATCATATAAATTTTCTAATTATACATTATAGATAATATAGGAGAGACCGGGGATAAAAGTAATATTTTGACTTTAAAGTTTTATAACAATTAAAATATAACATTTATGTAAAAAAAATATGTACCTTTAGGTGCAAAATTTATTTAGCTACAACTAGTTTTATTCAAATTATTTTTTGCTTCGTAATAAATTTAAATCCAGTATGCCTGGCAATATGCAACCAGTTGTACTTAGAAGCATTTAAAGACCGAATAGAAATAAAGTGTGTTTCATTTGGCGCTCACAACGCTCGCAAGCATTATTTGTCTTTATTTAATATTTGATAAAAACAACAAAGATGAAATTATTTCAAGAACGTTGCGAGCATCAAATAAACTGACGTAACCATAATTGACTGTAAAAAAAACAAGTAAAAAACAAATAGAAATAGAGTGCATTTTATTTGGCGTTCACAATTACATTAGATTTAAAATATATTTAAATTAGTGTACTATTAAAATTATTTTACTTAGAAGGGGAGATTCCGAAGTGGTCCTCATTGATTTCAATGAAACTTGGCAGCATTATAGAGTGTGTTTCCCTGAATAACCCCTAAATCACCTCTCCGTTTATACGTAGACGGTCTACTGTTTCCGAGATATTCAATATTAAATATTTAATAACAGAGCATTTCCTTTACAGTTTAATATAACATTTATACTCGAGTATTTGTAGCGTAGCGAATATAGTAACAGCTTCTTAACTTACAAATTCGAGTTCAAAATACATTAGCAATTAATTTTTTCTTGTTATACAATATGGCATACTAACTTCTTTTTTTATAAAAGAAGAAAAAGCTAATATGCCGATCGGCACAATTAGTTTTAGTGGGGGGAAGCTGTTTGAATGTATATTCTTCACAGATTTAGAGCCGAATGCACAATTAAAGATATGATAAAGTTGATATAAATTACAATTTGTATTATCACTTTCTTTAAAACTTTTTCAAATATTTTATTTTACCTTTAGTGCAACTTTACGCTACTTTGTGATATCATTATCTTTTTTTTTTTCCAGAAGAAATGAGGTCGTAACAGATCAAACTTAACATATTTTTTATCTTTTAATGTTTTTAGTTGTGCTATTTTTAAATTTTTTCATGTATTGAAAAAAATATTGATAGTTTCTTCGTGTAAAGTTGGTACTCTTTATTTCTTTAAATTTAATAAACTTGTAAATTCTTTCTTTTACTTTAGTTTCCATCGAAAAAATTAATATATTCCGAAAAAAATTAAAAATATTTATTTTAATAATATTTTTGTAATACGAAGGGTACAGGAAAAATTACGATCGTATTTAAAATACGTACCGTAAAAATATACAACATTTATTCAACATGTTTATTAATATAAAAAAATGCATATCAAAAATAATAATAATAAAATAACAAGTAACGAAATTTATTATATATATATATGTATATATTTAATGAAAGTAACTCAGACTAGAGATAAAAAAAGATGTTCGTAGCTTTTCGAAAGTCAAAAATAATAAAAAATCAGTCGGTGTTCCATAAAATGGTCCTATTGTTGAATGCATCAGAACAATGGATCATTCGATTTCACATTATTATAGAACGCTTGCATTGTTTAAAAAATGTGAAATCGAGTCAGTCATTGTATTGATGCACACAGAAGTCTCGTGCATGCGAACATTTAACCGTTTAAAACATGTGCATATATTCTTTCACAAATGCTAGTTATATCTGTCTGATGACAGTTCAGATAAAAGTGCATTGTCGTTACTTTATATACCTTCTATAGATCATTAATACACGTAATAATTTTTTTATAGAAAATTTGTTCCGTTGTTGATTCTAACCCAATTGCAACAACTTCAATTTTTTAAATATTATATCGCTCATTTGCAGCAATAATAATATAATTAAAAAAACAGTTTTTCAGAAAATTAACTTGAATGTTTTAAATCATTAAAATTTTATAATTTTAAAATTTATTATAATTTTGGTATAATAACTGATTCTAGAGAAATGAAAATATATTCTTCTCTTATTTTACATTCCTGTTTTTCGTAAGCAATTAAAAAACAATTTTTGAATAATGTCATTGTTATAGCAAATGAGCGACATTGTCTTATGATAGAAATAATGTACCAAAACTAGCGTTATCAGCGGAAAGGGATAAAAATCATTCTATATGTTTCAAAGGGTTATCATGTCGACTACTTTAAAGCTAATTTTAACATTTCTCGAAAGTTATCAATAATTCACTCGAGGATATTTCTAGTGTCCTCCCCAGTCGCCGAGTCCGCCCCCGCCGCCAAATCCACCTCCGCCTCCTCCGAAACCACCACCATGGCTTAGCTCCAGGTGGCCCCCACCGCCACCACCTCCGAAATCATGACCACCGCCGCCGCCACCTCCGAAATCATGACCACCGCCGCCACCTCCGAAATCATGACCACCGTCGCCGCCGCCGTCGTGACCCCCAAGAGAAATGGGATGGCCATAGGTGTATCCGAGTACTTCGTAACTGTCGCCGCCGCCGCCGCCGCCGTGGTGTATGTGTTTCGTGATCGTGTGCGTGTGTTGGATCTTCTTGATCTTGTACGGCACGTGGATTATCACGTGACTACTGTAAAAAGGACACGGGCAATATTAAAGCTTCTGACTGGCTTTTAAAGACGGAAACTGCAAGATTAGTTTTATCGTTGCGATATCAAATTATATTTAAATGTTTCTATTTTTTTTTTTCGATATAGTGAGCTTGATTTAAACTTACTGTTCGTGTCCGTGTCCACCGGCGTTGGCTAAGCTAAATAGTGCGACGACGGAGAGAAGAATTAACTGAAAATAATATCGTTTAACAGAGATTGTTAATAAAGCTATACATACAGAATCAATTCTATTTCATTTTAAATTACTATCAAAAAGTAGAAACTAGACCGTTTGCAAAATTAATAGTGATATCTACGCTTCCTTATTTCAAACATGACTACTAGAAAACGTAATTTTTCAAGTACCATAAATGCTTACTATCCTTTTGAAATTTGACATTTTCGGACATTCAAATTTGATGATACCAAAAACTTTTTAAAACCGAGTTTTATAGTAAAATTATTTTTTTGAAATTTAAATTTTGTAATTTTGAGGCCCAGAATTAAATTAAGTATAAATGACGTCTCTTCTTTAAGTTTCATTCTTAGAAAGCTCTTGTCCTCAAAGAATTATTGTGTTGTAAAACGAAAATGACCTTTTCTAAATAAAGGAAACTTAATTTATTTTGAATCGTGTTACTTTTGAAATAAGAAAATGATGTAAGAAAAATGTCTCTATATGTAATATTAAATAATACAATAATTTGACTCTGCAACTTCGAATAACGACTAACTTTCCACGGAAGATATACCGAGCAATAATTAGAAAATTGAAACGAGCCAAAATTGCATAAATATATAACAATAAATATAAAAATTATGTATTTCTGAAAATGTTACCTTTTGATATTAAAAATATCTAAAAGCCGAATATCATTTATAATATTTTTAATTGCAAATCACAAATCACATAGCTAATACTTTTGACATTACTCTCCTTGATTAAACGGAGAAATAATGATCCTTTCGATATATTAACTCGAAAAATTTGAATTATCACTGACTGTTTCACTTCCGTCGCGGTCGAAAATGCGGTAAACGCAATTCGTCTTGGGACTTACCAAGAACCCTGGTATTACGTCTCGTTGTCCTATCATCGTTCCGTTTTTTCGGATAGGACTATCGAGAAAAATAAATCGCTTCCGTCACAATAGGGCGACAAAAGTGAAGCGAAAGCTATGAAAAAGCTATGAATAATTAACGAGGAAACACAACGACGCGAGTTACTCCTCCGCCCGATCTCGATCTGACAACCATCGCGAACACGCGTTTCGCTTATATATATACGCACGTGATAGAAGTCGGATAAGAATGAAAGGGAGTATTTTGCTACCCGTATGCGCCGCACTCGTGAAAGGAGTCGCTAATAGCCTTCTCATTGCAAAAAGTCACCCGGTCGCGGCGTAACAGCAGAGGGGGACAAGCGCCGGTGCGGTGGTTTGCCTTCCTCCCTCGCCACGCTCACTGCCTTTGTATGTTCCTGTTCCTCGTTTTCGATATCTGTAACGGTGGGCTGTTCCTTCTCCCAACGAAAGGCAGATGTTAAGTGAACGTCCAAGATCAAGATCGCGATTGTGCCTCGCGTACGCGGGCGGAGTTCGTTTCACTAATCTACGCGTCCTCACGCGAGGGGAAGAGTAATCGTGCGGTGTATCCTTTCATCCTGACTCTCGAAGGTATCCTTCCTGATTTACAAGAAATTTCTCTCTTTTTATCTTTTCATATTATTTTCAATCAAACGATGTTATTATTTATCATTATTCTATTATTTGTATTCCATACATAAAGATGTCCGAATGTATTGAGGTTATCTAGCGTAAGAATTTTTTATAAAATTGCAAATATTTATTTAATCGCGTATTATATATTTTTTATTATATGTTCTAAAGTCTAACACGTCATCTCTTTGTTTCAAAAGTGACACAACTAAACAGATTAAATTTTCTAGAAAAAAGGGAAAAGTATTTTTTAACAGAAAATTATTTAACTGATCAAATAATATCGTGGTAAAAAGAATATATTCCTAAGGTAATCAAATGTTATTTTTATCATTTTTGTTTCACAACTCTTAAAAACAATTTTTTTTAAATAATGTTTACTTTACTCATTCATGACAATTTAAAGATCATATTTTGAATTGTGTCACTTTTAGGCAGCAATGTATTATAAATTCGAATGTGTAATATTTCTTATTCGAAATATTTGAAAAAAAAAAAAAATCAGATTATTGAACGTATTCAAAATTATAAGATACAAATTTTCCCTCACGATATAAAACTACTATTTCGCAAATATTTTTATAAAATATATATACATATATATATTACAATATCTATTTTATAAAAATTTACAAAATATCTTTAATATCCAAGTTTATAAATAGTATCTTTCTATATTTCCTAATTACATTTCTCAAAAGCAACGAAAATAATAAATTTATTTATTTGAATGTATGGTAATTAATTATGGAAAAGTCGAGTAGACTGTAGACAGATAAGATAGTAATTCTATCTATGTTTCTACCGTATTCTATTTGAAAGTTCAGTAATTGCTGCCATCTATCAGCAAACTACTAATCTCTGATACAAACATTTATAATTCTATGCTAAAACTGTTAGATATTACAGTATATTTTTAATAATAATGTGTTAAAATTATACAATAGTATCTTGTAGTATTATTGTATAACATCGCGCTTTGGAATTTTTTAACTACAAGGTTTTGTTAAAAATATTTATATCTAATTGTCTGATATCTATAATTGTTATATGTCAATATTTATGAGAGCATTTATAACTATCATAAATATTAATCAGACCATAGTTCTAATTATAATAAATGCATTATGTATCTGTAAATTTTAATGATAATCAGAGTCAATGTACGCATGTTACAAAAGATAATTTAAATTTAAACTTTTTGAAGGTAGCTTAATAATATAAACATACAATTAAGAAGCATATAGCCACAATTCAAGATGTTTTAAGAGATAAAAAAATGTATTTCAAATAAATACGTTAAACTAATTGTACAAATTTTATGATTCAACGTATTAATTCGAAATACATTATTTTATCTCTTAGAACATCTTGAATTGTGGCTATATGTTCCTTAATTGTATGTTTAGATAATTTAAAACAATTTTAAAACTAAAACGAATACTTCCGCAAGATTTGAATAATACGAGGAGGTATATACAAATTAATATCTCTGTAAAATTTTATTTTAATTGAGAACTAATTAACAGAATAACCCTACGTTAGATTTACAAATTGCAAATTTACTATTAAATATAAATTTATATGTGAAAGTTATAATAGCGTTATTTCAAAACACGCTTGATATGGAAATTCTTTTCTTTTGCCGATTTGATATTTATTTCTTACTTTTTTATATTGCAGTATTATATTGTAAAATTCTTAAATTAAATTTCAATTATGTGTAAATAAATAATAGAAAATCTTATTTCAATTAAAAGATGGTTTTCAATTGGGAGGAAGATTTATAATTAACGTGACTGCGATTATAGTAACATTTATAACTGTGTGAATTTAGAAGTTACAAATACGATGATATTTATGTGTTATATTAAAGTACGAGTTAATTACAAGATTAATCAATTGTAAAGGGTAAAATTGGATTTGAAATTGCAAAGTTACTCACTGAGTTACTTTTACTGACTTCTCTCTTAAATGCTATAGATGATTTATTAGTGATTTGTTCACTCCCATACTTTCTCTGGTGCGCGACTTCTTAATTTACTTTTTTATACTAGCTGTTCTCACTAGTTCTTATTATTATTAAATTGCTTAAAAAATGTCACTGACTTTCTATAATGAATAGAAACTATAACTATAATAATATATTACAAAAAGTGTACCATTGTTTCATACGTATTTTAGCAAAACAAAGAAGATAAATTTTAAAATATAAACAAAGCAAAAGTAATACAAACTTTTTAAAAATTCACATAAATTCTGAAAGAATTTCTGAAAAGACATTTTAAAAGAGGGGAATTTAAAAATAAATCTTGTCTTTTTTTAAATATATAATTTTTCCGAAACACGCTTTATCTGTAGTTAAAAATTCTATTCTAATAAACTAGAATAAATAGTATATAACTCGTGTAAATTAAAAAGAAATATCGTAACATTTTAACAGTTTAAAAGAAATAAGCGTATTGTATACGGTGTACATTTGGAAGTAGTATTGAAAACGTGCGCTGTCGATCACTGGTAAATTACGGAAGCGAGAGGGAATCATTTCCCCTTCCTGAAGAAGCGCGCCGAGCCGGAGCTGATAATGCGGAGGCGCATAAACTACGAGGCGATGACCGGGGACCGTTCACTCGCTGAGCGTTCACCTTCGCAAAGTGCGCTCACAAGAGAAAGGGAAACCGATCTCGGTGTGTCTCGCGTAAAACACGCGCAGGAGCAAATTATACGTGTACACCGTGCCGCGGGAGACGTCGCGCCACGTTGCGCCGGTGCCCGCGCGAGAAAACAAAAACGAGTAACGCGATACGGATTATCCTTTTCCTTACAGCTCGCGAGACCGTGACAGTGAACTCTCTACTAGAGGAATCCAATCCGACCGGGATCGGAGTGAATGTACAGGGTGTTACGTTCCAGAACGTCGACATTGCAATGTCGTCCTTATAGAAAAATGCCGCGGATCGGACATTCAGACGAATATCAAATAGCATGTTTCGAAGCTAGACCGGTTTCATAACAATCACGCCGATCGTGTGCACTGGACAATGTAATCGGTTAACTTTGACCGTAATTGAGATAAAAAAAAAACTACAAGGAAACAAGGTATCAATTAAAAAAGATAACGAATGATTAAAAGTGAAACTAGTACGGTGAAATCGATTTTGACTTGGCTCGTAGCTTCTTTTGTCTTTTTTAAAACTTTTTTTAAATTGTTGAGCCTTTCTCGTTATATTATTTGATTAGAAAGATATATTTTTAGTTATATTTTTCAATTAATAGCAATTTGTCTGTATGCACGATTTTTGTATAAGATCGTAATTATTATCAAGCGATGCGGTAACAAATTCATACGGCGTAACAAGTACATACAGATTGTTTTTGGAGTTAATCGAAAGGATACACATTAAAGGCGCCGTACACAAAGTAACATAAAAATGTGTGCTTAATATAAATATAAAAACAAATTAAACCATAAAATTCTTAATATATTTTATTGCGTTGTTAAATAAAATTTATGATAAAACTTTACAAAAACATTTGTATATGTCAAGACAAAAGAAGCGTGTGAGAATCCAGAACAACAGATTACGATAACGTCGCAATGACGTTAATTAAATCATGATTGATTGAAAAGTGACTTTTAATAATTATTCTGGAGCTATCATAATCTTTTTTTACTCAGGAAGCTACTTTTAATTTGAAAATACAATATTATAAAATATTAACGTTGTTAATTTGTCACTAATTACATCTATTACTGTATAAAATAATCATTATATTTAATTTTAAAATTTGCTTTTACTACCTTATGTCAGTTCTGAATTCTTTACTTATTATTATAACACATATTGCAAAAATATTGGATAAGTCTCTCTACTTTCTACACATATACGCAATTTCGCTTTATAAAGTTAATAATACATGATGTTCTAATAGATTCGCAATGCGAGGTGATCACAATGTGAAGTACATCATGTTAAGAACGGAACATAAAGTTTACGCTGAAATATAAGCTGTCCTAAATTCTTTCCCTCTCCTCCAATGTAAGAACATATTTTATTTGATCTCGTAATAGACCAATTTATACGTCGTTCGTTGCAATTTTTTGTTTTAGAACATCAACATTCCGCGAAAACGAGGAAGGAAAGATCATGATTTTCTTATTCCGCAGTGAAATTTCCAATACGCGTTAGATTTTATATTATTAAATTTCTGCTGCTGTTTATGTGAATTATGACAATTGATTTAATACTTTTGATTATTAATTGCGTCAAATATAATTTTATATTTAAGTATTTTGTCATTTAAAATCATGATTTCCGTAAGTTTCTGTTATGTAAAACACACGTACACACAAGATTATAATTTAAGAATTACCAGACATCAGCACATTTGTTAAAAAAAATTCTATAATATGAATTGAATAAAAAAAATATTAATATAAAAAAACTTAAAAATAAAACTATGGCATAAATTTCATATTTTCTATATTACGTGATGTATTCAAATCGCAAATATTTCACGT